TGTGAAGTGTTGGAGAAGACAAGAAGGAGTGAGGACTCTGGACTAGTGACTAGAAGAGTTAAAGCTGAAAATGGACTCCATGTGTACCCAAGTGTTTATTGAAATCCTCTTTTTAGGAGGAGCATTAAATTATATATTTACCTAGATGCAAAACAATTGGATTAGTCGCTATTTTGTTTATTTTAAAAATGCTATTTTTTGAAGAAAAGGCAATATTGAAAGGAATGTCTGCTAAGTAGGAATTAGCTGGGTTCTTTTGGAGGAGATGGTTGAGAGGGGAGGGGGCTCAGGGAGACACATTCCAGGCAGCAGAAGGATATGCAGAGCCTTGCATGTGTACAGGGTGCCAGGACCCAGCCTGACTAGCTCAAAAGCAATGGGGTGGGTCTGGAGAGAGCGGGGCCTAGCCAGTGGGTTGTGCCTACAGAAGGAACTGCTAAGGTCGTGGTTGAGCTCTTACAAGTGTGGACTTATCAGCAGGTGACGGGATAGACGGTTCTGGAAATCAGGAGAGAGCCTGGCTTGGTCTTCATCAGCTTACCCATGACTGTAGCTACAGAAGTAGAGATGGCCTTGTGCAGAGGGAGAAGGGAAGGGCCTTGAGAAACATACAGAGGTGAGAAGGAAGAGCCAGGAAGGGGCCAAGGAACAGCCAGAGGCAGCAGACCAGCAGCTGGAGAGATGAAACCAGCCCCGGGAGGTCCCCCAGGCCCACGTGAAGGTCCCCAGATGTCCAGTGATGACTCCAGGGAGGAGAGTGGTGGGCTGGGGACACAGAGCGCTCCTCTTTGGCTACAGGATGTTTAGGCGCTGGGTGGTAGGAAGGTGAGAGGTTTCTCCAATGATAACCACTCTCTGACTGTGTGAGCCTAGATGGTACAGTAGGAGATTTGAGGAGAATGGGGTGGGGGTTGAAACCGTATGTAGAAGGGAAGTGGCTGATGTCAAGACAGAGACTGAGTATGTGGACTAAATAAACAGCAGCAAAGGGTCAGAGAGCGGGGGGTCTCTGAAAGAAGGGAAGGGCCAGAGACCCATCAACAAGCAGGGACCGCGTGGAGCTGCAGGCTCCTAGGTGGGTGCAGACCTCAGTGAGCAGTAGGGACCTAGGAAGATATAGACCTCAGTCAACCGTTGGCACACAGGTAGGTGCAGAGACCTCAGTCACTAGACAGGTGCCGGATATCTGCTACAAGCTGGACTCTGTTCCAGGCACTGGTTTGCTGCGAAGGCAGGCACTGAGTGACACTGAAGGAGAGCCCACCAGAAACTGCAGAGCACAGCTCAGTGGTCGGGTCCACAGATCTGCGGAGGCTCAATGAATAGCAAGTGTTGTTTTCCAGCAACACAAGAGCAGAGCTAGATGACCTCAAGCTGGAGCTTTACGGAAAGGGATGATGGGGAGGTAATGGGTGAGAGAGGTTCAGGGCGATCAGAAAGAAAGCTATCTGGCCAGTTACATCACAGCGGGACTTGCAAATCACATGTGTAAGCTCATCAGAGCGACTGGCCAGCAGCCACCACAGAGGGCTGAACCGACATCTGCATTGCATGGTCCCCACATTTTAAACAGATCTTCTCAAACTTCAATATATACATGCTACAATTCGGATGCTGGGCTAGAGGTAGAGCTTGGAGGTTGAGAGCTTGCTTAGCAAGTGTGAGGCTCTGGGTTCAATCCCCAGCCCTGGGAGAAGAAGGACAAGTGCAGAAGCTGATTGGCCAGGGCTGGACTCTGCATATCTTTTTGCTTCTCCGGCTCTGAAGATCAGACCCAGGGACTTACACATGCTGCCTCCTCAACCAGCTCTGCACAGCTCGTCAGCTCCTGGGCAGAGCACTCTTCAAAATGATTTTCTTGGCTGGGCGGTGGTGGCGCACCCCTTTAATCCCAGCATTTGGGAGGCAGAGGCAGGCGGATCTCTGTGAGTACAAGGCCAGCCTGGTCTACAGAGAGAGATCCAGGACAGTCAGGGCTACACAGAGAAATTCTGTCTCAAAAAAGCAATTTTTTTCTTTTTAATTAAAAAAATGTATATCCCCATTATGTACAGCATGATGTTTTGAAACACATATACACTGTGGAATAGCTAAACAGAGCTAATTAACACACATTACCTCATATACTTACCTTGTTTTTTCGGTGGTGAGAACATTTACTATCTGCTTAGCTGTTTTCAAGAATATGCTACATTATTATTTACTAGAGCCAATATATGGTGTGACAGATCTAACTACTCATCCTATCCAACAGCTCTCCACCTCCCTGCTTTGGACAGTAGGCTTTTCCTTCTCTTGAATGACAGACAGCTCATTTGTCCTATGGTCCTATGCCTTCCTGTGAGGCACTGGAGCCAGCTGACTGGTACCTTTTAGGCACCCAATGACCTATCTTTGGGGGCTGACAGTTTGTAGTAAACAATGATAATCGAGGTTTTCACACTACTGATAGCCACAAGTCACGGAACAGAACGGTTTGTGTGGGGGAGGGTTGTTTTGGCTTCCCTTTGGAGAGCTAGTTGTTAAACAATTTATATACCCAGCGCTAGCCAACCCACCATTAACAGTGTTAACACTGTTACAAGGGCCTCTGTGTCAGGGGTCTGGAGAGCAGGTTCTGTGATGGCCTCAGCTGCAAGCTGATAAGGAGACATCAACATGAGGGTGCCTGGGGGAGGCCCTGAGGCCCTGACTTATCTGTACACCAGAGTACCCAAGAGAGGCAAACACTCAGTACCACCCTATCTGCCTGTCCCTGAGTCACCAAGAGAAGGAGAGCTGGAAAGAGAAGAGAAAGGTGTTACAGGCAGAGTGACCTGCTGGAAATTCTCGTCTATGGGCACTGTCCTTTCCTGAGCATCCCTGGCCAGGTCTGTCTTTGCTGTACTAGCTGCTGGATATATTCGCTAGAAAAAAAAATGGATAGTGCATCTCAGCCACAGAGAAGGAAACTGATTAATTTTTATTTCATTTGCTTACTGACCTAAAAAAATGGAGGCAAATTAAACCAAACCAAACCACCATTCACCTAATATGGCCAGATGAAAACCAATGGGATCCCTTTTGGTGACCATTTGAGGAAGAAAATGGAATCCTACTGCTGGAGAAAAAAGCGGGGGTGGGGGGATGGATCTATGTTTTGGGGTATACGCCCTTTTCATTTCCTCTTTTTCTTTGAATTCTATTTAATTTCACAAGCCTGCTTATTAAGACCAAACTCTCCCGAGCCCCTCAGCTCTCTGGCAGATAAATCACTGCCAGCTTTGCTCAGGTTGCTCCCCGTGAGGCTGATGTTCCAGTGACTAAATATCCCTGCCAAACTGCCCACCAGATGATGCTGAGGTGTCCTCGAGGCTTTGAAGAAGGTGGTGGCAGATGAAGCCATTTCAGGGGCTCCCAGCCCTCGGAAGAGGGAGACTCCTGGGGGTGAGTTCAGGGACACAGGCTCTGGTTCATAGGAACCATGGCTACCCAGGGGTCCTGACACACAGGGCAAGGCTGTGCTACAGCCACGGTTCAGAAAGCATCTGTCATTGGGGTTAGCTCCCAGGGAGTTCACACTGGCACCTGGGAAGGGGAAGAGCTGCTATCTCTGGATGTAGAGGGAGAGCAGAGGCCTTGGGATAGATTTGCTGTGCATTTGGGATGTGAGGGTACAGAAGGTCTATGCATGTGTGTGCCTGGTGGAGGGGTACAGTCTGCTGCAGCTTTGGAGGTTCACATCTCCTTTCCTTCCAGGGGTGATAGGGGTTAGAGTAGGCCAGGCCTCTGAGACAGTTGCCATCTAGGGCCTGATACGTGCCCCCTATCCCTAGCTTAATTCCTCCTACCCATCCACTGCACTCTGCAGGTGCCAATGACTGTCTAGGCAGGACCCACTAAGTTGTAGAGGTGCTACACCTCTGCCCTTTAGTAAAGGAGCAGAAGAACTAGCCCGGAGATGCAGAGATGGGCACCCTCACTGTTGAACCGAAGGCCCCAGAACCCACAAAACAGCAGGGTGGATTGCCAATGTCAGGTGCGTCACACCCAGCCACCCCAGGATTCTAAGCTTCTCCTTACTGAGTCCCTCTTCTACAGGAGAGTGGAGCAGGGATGGGACAGGTCACATCGGAGACGATGTTCTTAGTGACTCCGATGAGAAAGAGAAGGCAGGCCTGAAATCAGGGAATCAGGATCTGTTTAACTCACTGACCTCAGCAAACTAGGACAGGGCCTGTTGGGTGGGTGATAATGCAGGTCTGGAGCATTAGTGACAGTGGAGAGAGAGAGAGACAGGAAAGGAGAAAGAAGTGTTTTAGAAATAAGAGAGGCAGAAGCCTGGATTATAGCAGAATGGAGATGGGATGACTCTGTGTGTGTGTGTGTGTGTGTGTGTGTGTGTGTGTGTGTGTGTACACATACATGCACTTATATGGGGGTAGGGTTCACTTCTAGCCAAAGGATGTCTTAAGATTATCATGTGGATGCAGGAAGCCACTTTGGACTTACTGGACTCTCAAAGGTGCTGGTCTGGAGTGAAAGGCATGTGAAAGAAAAGCTGTGTGGGGGTGTGTGTGCTTGAGCTAGCCCTGCCTGCTTGCTGGCAGGTCCCAGTCCCCAGAGACTGGGGCATGAAGGGAAGATATGCTACTACTTACGTCTTCCTTCCCTGAGGACATACAACTAACAAGTATGTCTGTCTGTCTGTCTGTCTGTCTCTCTCTCTCCATAGAGTTAGGGATCATGCAGGCCAAGCAAGGACTCTGATGTTGAGCTCAGTCCCAGGCCTACAATTGAATTTTTCAGGGTATTTTTGAATGTTGCTCCAGGGGGAGAGGCGGTTCTGCTGGGAACCCTCCTTCCTACAGGATTCTCCAGTGCCAGAGGCTTCTGTGACGGGTAGTACTCCACAGTGGTGAACCACAGAAACAAATGGTTAACAACATGCCCTCTCCCCTCCAGCTCAACCCCACAGTCGCCAGTCACAACCAAGGTTAGAAGTCTGCTGACACCTTTACCTGTTCCGGATCCTACGACATCTCGGCTTGGTGACTCGGCCATGGCATCTGCGAGCCGTTCCCGAAGGCCTTCCTCTGTGTGCTCCACGGACGACATGTGCCGCAGCCCGAAGCCCTCAGGCCAGCTCCCACACACTTCCAGCAGGGTCACGCTCCGGTCAAAGGTACCTGTGGCGCAGATGGGACATAAGAAGTTGAGTCCATGCCTTCAGAGGGCAGGCTGTTCTCTGTCTACCCGCCACCCATGGCCTGTCATGCCCAGAGCCACATTAGTCTTTCAACCAGAAGAATGAAGGGTGGGTCATCTAGGAACGGGAATGTGTGAGGCTGAGGACAGTAGCTCGTGCCACTGGGCCAGAGAGAACACTTCCATGAATGACGGCTTCAATCGCTGGAAGCACCTGGAGTTAAAATGGTCTCTGAGAGGTGATGGGGTCCCTCTGGTCTTCAGAGACTTCTGAGAGCTAGGGCAGAGGGAAGGAACCCCTTCCCAGGTTCACCTCAAACAACTCTGCCATTACCTAACATAATCACTCTCCACCTACAACCTCAGGAGTGACTACAGGTGATGGATGTCGCTCATTTGATGGAATGCTTTCCTGGCATACGAGACTGGGCACAATCCCCAGCACCAAACTAAGAAACCTGGTGGTACATGCCTGTGATCCCACCACTTGGGAGGTAGAGGCAGGAGGATCAGAAGTCCAAGGTCATCCTCAGCTACAGAGTGAGTTTGAGGCCAGCCTGGACTACATGAGACACTGTCTAAATTAAAAGGCAGCCTGGGGAGATGGCTCTGTGACTGAAGTCCTTGAACACACACATGATGACCCAAGTTTGGATCTCCAGAACCCAAGGAAAGCTGGGTGCGGAGTGTAGTGGGAGCATCCATAATCCCAGTGTTCCTATGGTGAGATGAGAGACAGAGACAGGAGAATCCCTAGAAGCTGGAGGGTGGGCTAGCCTGGCCACACACAGCGGTGAACAACCAAGAGAGCCAAGCAAGGTAGAAGGTGAATGCTGACGCTCGAGAGTCTCCTCTGACCTCCATACACATACTGCCATACATATAAGTGCACGCACACACCACCACCACAAAGATTAATGGGGAGGGGTACGTAGTTTAAACTTAGAAACAAAATGTGTCCTAAGTCACTGTGTTCTACAACCTATACCCAGCCTCATTCACAGTTACGGCTTAGCGAGGTCAAGGGCTCAGAGTGAACAGCGGACTGTGAGTGCCTTGGTGCCAGGACTCAGATGTGCTGATGCCTCGGTCTGGAACTGGTTCTACCTCACTGCAGATCGGCTCCCAGCCGCCAGGGATGCGGGCATGTGCGGGGTACCGTTTCAGGGATGTGAGCGACACAGCTGGGTGATAACATCTCCAGCTAGGATCCTTCCTTAATCCAAACCTGCTCCCGAGTTCCAGAAAGTACACTGCGTTCCGCTGAATGCCAGGATTAGATGTTACGTGCAAGATCACTTCAAAGTCTGAATTCAAGAGATTCGACTTTATTCTCCGGCAAGTTCACTGAGAAAGCTTATTTCATCCGGTCTCTCTTGGAAAGAGATTATGGTCATGGTCTGTTGCTTTAAGCACATACCATTTCCCTCTCGATTAGGTAACTGAATCCACTACATTTATTGGGCTTGGTTCCTGCCAGCTCCAGGGGGACCAGGAAAAAATGCAAATGCCGACGTTTCCCCGAAGTTAAAAGTACATGAAACGCACACTCTTTATCAGGTCTTGTTTCTCCTCTTTGATCAGCCGTCAGGAACTATCTTTCCTCGGTGGCCAGGACTGGGTAGTGTCAGTGCACACTCGCGGCCACTGACAGGTGGTAATAGAGAGGGTGCGAGCCCCGGCCCCGGCGGGCGGCCCTGCCTGTGATAAGGGCCCCAGCCTGGAGGTGATAACCGTTAGTAAACACTCCGGCAGTCGGTGCCTCCATACATCAGCAAAGTGGGCCCGATAATCCTGAACTCTCTGACCAAAGGCCCCTGGCTGGCCGGCTGGGATTTATATGTGTGGCAAGGGTCACTGCCGGCTCCTGAATTTCATCAGGCAACTTTGGCTTTGATTTATTTCTCACCTAATTGTGAAGTCGATTCCTGGCACAGGGAGAGTGGACAGCATCTACAGAGGCACCTCCCCAGGAAGGAGCCTGCCTTGAGATTGTGGTCCTTTCCATCAGTTTATCAGGTGGAGCCTCAGCTGTCCTCCATTGGACAAGATTAGGATGGGGGTCTGGAGAGCCAGGCAACGGAACTCGGGGGTGGAGAAATGAACAAGGGGGCTGAGGCCAAGTCAGGGAGAAAGAAAAAACATCCGAAAAAGGCTATAGCAAGAGGGGTTTGGGGAAGAAATGGAACAAAGAACAAGAAGGGTTTGGGAGGAGGGCCCAGTCCACAGATGGGAAACACCAGAGGAATATGTACTTTTTCCGGTCTTGGTTTTGAGATAGGCTCTTACTATGTAACCCAGGCTGGTCTTGCAACTGGCAACCTTCCTGCCTCTGCCTCCTATGGGTTGAGATTATAGACATATGTCAGCCTGCCAGCTAGTACATAATATATGAAGGGACAAAGTAACAGGAGAAAAGAATCATGAATGGGTATTAAGAGTGGAGACTGGAGACCAACCTCAGCTAACACACACAGTCTGACCTGAGTAGCTGCCTAACTCAAGGCAGGAGCCTCAGATTCCTCACCCACCAGAACTCATGTAACCTCAGAGCTGCTGTGGGGGCCGAGCGAGATAAGAGAAAGCACCCGACACGTGAGTGCTCTGCACGTAACAGGTGTGCCTGTGGACATGTTAATCCAGGGGGTATGGCTCAATGGTAGGGGCTTTGCACAGGATGCAGAAGGACCTGGGTGTGAGCCCCAGCACTGCAAGTAATAATAATGACAATAACTGTCTTGATGATGGCAGTAATGCCAAGTAAGCACACCCTTTTGCCGCTGCAGGCGGCACCATTCATTTCGGCCATCACAATGTTCCTGAATGGTAGTATAGGTATGGCCTTACGTACAGGGGAGTTGAAGCATGGAGAGCTAAAGTGACAGAGCCGGAGCCTGTAAATGACACATCTTAATTATTAGTGTGGAGCTCACCCTGTTAGCTCCCATGGTGCTTCCTTTAGTGGCACCTGCTGTGGAGAACAGGACTATGTAAAAATCACCTCTGTCTTCCCTAATGGGTTTGGAGAACGCCTGTCACCTTCAAGCAATGCCTTTCAAAAGCCTGCCCACCCTGAAACCAGCCCACACCCCTTCTAGGATGGCAGTCATGATGATGACTCACCCTGTCCACCTGACGCGACTCAGGGGAACACAAACCAACAGCTCCAGTCTCCGAGCATGGCTGCAGCTAAGATGCTGTGGCGGGCCATGGGAGAACCCAAGAGTGATTAGCAAAGGAGCCCTTGCTCCTCTCTGCTGCCCGGGGATGCAGAGAGGTAACCATCTCCCTCACCCTTGGCTGACAAGCCTCCCATGCTGGAGTGAGAGCAGGGCAGCAGGAACACAGGCATCAGCAGGGGCTGGGGGAAGAAGCTAAGCCCTCGGAGGATGAGGTCACTTCTGGCACTCAGGAAACTGCCAATCTTGTCAGTGTTGATGGAACAGCTCTCCTTCACTCGACTGGCCCAGAGACAAGCCCCTGGACAGGGGATGTTTATGTCCCATTATGGAGACAGGACTGTTTCAGGGGGTCAGAGAATGCTCACCTAGAGCCGGCTAGTTGCAAAGCAAAGCTCAGGGTACACGTGCTTAGCAACCAGGGCCTGCTGCTGAAGATGTTTACAAGGCCCTCTCATGCCAGCTGTTCCGTCTGACTCACACACTCATCAAATATTGATTAGTGTCCACTCTGATAGGAGTCAAGCCTTCTTCTGAGGAATGAGGAAAGAGCGTGAGGGGGAAAGGCGCTGAGTTCACAAAACTCTGGGAAGCAGCAGCTACCACCATCTCCTGGGCTAGAGGCAAAAGGTGACTGGTGTTAAGTGGTCTTCTGGGAACTCTTCCCTCTAGAAAGCTCTCCTACCTTATTGATTCTCTAGATCTCATTCTCTAAGGTTGAGTTCAAGTCTGACCTGCTCGAGGAAACTACCGGAGGGGCAATAAACACACTCCCGGACTCTGACAGTGTAGACGGGGACTTTTATCTTTTGCAGCCGAGTTGGAGAAAGTATGAGTTTATCAATAAAAATGTGTGACTGGGTCTGAGGGTACAGCTCAGCAGCAAGTGTCTTCCCAGTTTGCTTGAAGCTTCTCATTCAATTCCGAACACACACACACACACACACACACACACACACACACACACACACACAGATTGAAGGATATGTACCCATAGGGCTGGGCGTGGCTCAGTAGTAAAAGGCCTATCTAACAAATATGAACTATATAAGGCCCTACATAAGGGTTTAGTCTCCAGCACTGGGAAAAAAGTATTATGTTTACATACAGAAAATTGTACAGGTAATTCCAGAGTTTTTAGGGATGGACTGAAGCACAGGGACTCAGGTTAATATGGGGACCCTACAGATCATCCCCATCCCCATCCTGTTCACATGCTTGGCCCTTCTGGGTAGTTTGGAAGTTCCTGAGGACTTGGATTCCTCTCGAGTTAAAGAACTCCACTGGCCATGCTCATTCCAACAGACTTGTGAACTGACTGATCATGGTCACCTGAGAAAGGTGACAGCGACTTCAGTCAACTGTGTCCTAACTGAGTGCCACGGCATGAACATCTAGGAGAGGCAGAAAACAGAAGTAAGATTAAAAAGGAGGAGGAAAGCAGAGATGGTAGGTAAGTGAGCAGAAAGGGACAGGATCTCAGAAAGGGACAGGATCTCAGAAAGGGACAGGATCTCAGAAAGGGACAGCATCTCAGAAAGGGACAGCATCTCAGAAAGGGACAGCATCTCAGAAAGGGACAACATCTCACTCTGCGGCTTTTGGTGCACTTAGAGCTGAAGATTCCGGAATTTGGACGCAAGCCTGTGGGGCCTTGTCTGCAGGTGGGCTTCCCGAATCCTGATTCCTAGCTTGGCATCCTGTGCAAGTCACTCCCCCCGGGTTCTTGGGTTTCACAGACTCACTAGAAGGTATGCTGTGGCATGTGGAACGCCGGCAGCTTGGGGAACGGTGCGGGGCTGGTGTTCTACCTTTGGGTACTACCCTCAAAGGGGCCAGGAGGCCCTGGGTAGAGAGAGTGGGGCAGGTGAGATGCTTCTTTTTGCCAGTTGTAACTAACCACACTCTTGTTATTTGTGTCAATTAGATTCATCCAGGGTTGAAGTTTGTTGAAAACCTCCTATGGAAAGGTTCTAGCCACCAGAGAGAAAAGCCACACACCAAACGCAGAATCTGGAATAAACAGTGCTCCTCGAGACATGAGCCCTTCCAGGTGAGTTCACTGTAATAAAGATGCTATGACAACTAAGGCCTAGCCAGGGAGCCATGGGCATCTCCTCCCCCACTCACCAGACTTCACTGAACTGAGCGGAAGCCCTGCGGGCGGCACCCCTTTCTCCACTCTGCAGGCTGGCCATCAGGAGCACAGCTGAGGACAGTAGCCTCCTCCGGCACACCGGTCAGTTTTACATGTTAACCTGACCAGGCTAATGGATGCCCAGTACCTGTGAAGCATTTCTCATCATTTCTGCGAGATGGGAGCAAGATGCTCCTCCCTCACCGATGTGTGTGGGCACTGTCCCACCAAGGACCTGACTCTACTGCAAAGTGGAAGATTTTGCTCTCTCTGAGCTGGGATTGTGTCTTCTCCTGCCCTTAGAACTTGGTGTGCCTGGTCCTCAGGCCTCTGGACTTGCAGACTTCCTCAGGCAACAATGGGACTCCTCAGGTTCCATAATTATACATTAATCCTCATAATAAGTCTCTGTCTGTCTGTCTGTCTATCTGCCTGCCTGTCTACATAAACTCCCACTGTTTCTATTTCTCCAGAGAACCTTGATTACTAGCTGTGTTGGTTACTAGCTGAGTTGTGTCCCCAAGCGTGTGTGTGTGTGTGTGTGTGTGTGTGTGTGTGTGTGTGTGTGTGTGTAGGTATTTTTCGAGACAGGGTTTCTCTGTGTAGTTTTGGTTCCTGTCCTGGATCTTATCTGTAGACCAGCTGGCCTTGAACTTACAGAGATCCGTCTGGCTCTGCCTCCTGAGTGCTGGGATTAAAGGCATGTGCCACTACTACCCGGCTATTTCAAGTATATTTTTAACATGTCAGTAGTATGTTATACTGTGGAACAAACTTTGTACACTGCAAATATGTATTACTCTCATTGGTTAATAAAAGAGCTGACTGGCCAATAGCTGGACAGGCAGAGGTTAGGTGGGACTTGCAGACAAAAAAAGAGCACAGGGTAGAAGGTGGAGTCACCAGGAGATGTGAAGAGAAGCAAGATGAACATGCCATGATGAAAAAAGATACCTCCATAGATAAGAAATATGGGTTAATTCAAGTTGTAGGAGCTACTTAGTAACAAGCCTAAGCTATTGGCCAACCAGTTATAATATTAGATCTCTGTGTGGTTATTTGAGAGCAGCTGGCAGGACAGACCTGACCAGTGGTCCTGATGAAAAACTCTACCTACAATGTTATTTATAATAGATTGACTCATGTTAGAAGGGTAGGTAGGGTGAGAGGATATGATGATTTCATCTTTTCCTCTTGATCCTTTAGGTTGGTTCCCAAAAGAACTCCATTCACATGCTGCACAACAATGTTTTGGTCTACATAGAAGATGGTGGTCCACCAGGTGGTGGTAGTGCAGGCCTTTAATCCCAACACCTGGGAGGCAGAGCCAGGTGGATCTCTGTGAGTTCGAGGCCAGCCTGGTCTACAGAGCAAGATCCAGAACAAGCACCAAAACAACACAGCGAAACCCTGTCTTGGAAAAAAAAGAAAAAAAAAAAAAAGAAAGAAAGAAAAAAAAAAGGAAGGTGGTGGTCCATGAGTTAATGGAACTGCACAGTTCATCACCAAGTGATATCACAACCATCCTCACAGTGCAATGCATCATGTACAGGTCTGTTTGGATGTCAGTAAAAACACATCTATTATGTTTTCAGTCACACAGAAGTATGGTGCAAGCAGGGCATGGAAGCTCATGCTTATAGTACCAGCACTCAGGAGGCTGAAGCAGGAGGATTGCTATGACTTCTTGACCAATCAAGGTTATAGACTAGACCCTGTCTCAAAAGAACAAAAAGGGGGCTGGGAGGGACATGCTCAAAGTATATTATAAACATGTATAAAAATGTCCTTATGTAACCCAGTACCATGTAGAATAAAGAGCAAGGGGGTAAATTGTTAAAAACAGTACTCACAATTACGTGCAGTACAATACTTGGTGGTGATAATGAACAGCTGTTACTGCTTTATGTATCATTGCTACTTCCAAGAGCATATTCCTTTTACTTATTAAAAAAGTTGACTGTGCCGGGCGGTGGTGGCGCACGCCTTTAATCCCAGCACTCGGGAGGCAGAGCCAGGCGGATCTCTGTGAGTTCGAGGCCAGCCTGGGCTACCAAGTGAGTCCCAGGAAAAGCGCAAAGCTACACAGAGAAACCCTGTCTCGAAAAACCAAAAAAAAAAAAAAAAAAAAAAAAAAAAAGTTGACTGTAAAACCACGCTGGGTTCTGCATGCAGCAGACTCCATAGCTTGTGTTTACTGTATCTCTTAATTCCAAGAGACATCAGAGCTGCATGGCTGTAATCCCTGTACTTGAGAGGTTGAAACCAGAGGATCACTGTGAGTTCCAGGCCTGTCTGGACTACATAGCAAAATCCTGCCAGACAAAAACAAAAAAACCCAAAAAGTGTGTGTGTGTGTGTGTGTGTGTGTGTGTGTGTGTGTGTGTGTGTGTGTGTGTAAGACAACATCAAGTGAGTGACTTGTATGTGTTATTTTGATTTGTACAAGTAGGCTTTGTACAACAAATCACCAGATGATAGACACATTTTTCAGAACCTACCCGTTCATTACATGACAGATGACTGTACAATCCACACCCACAGACAGATGTGCTACATAGCAAAGGGGCCCCGACTTCAGCTATCCGTTACAACGCATATGCATGTATGTATAACATACATCTATTTCCACTCAGATTATTTAATGATTTATGACAATCAGTAAACCATGTTAGTTCCATATGCAGACACTTGGCTGTGGGGCTTGGGCTATGGCCATTAGGTTATTTTGAAAAGATCTGCTCTTCCAGCTTTGGAAGTGAACTAAGAAAAGAGAAAGGCGAACAAACAAAATACCAGCATGGTAAAGAAGCACTCGAGCTAATACTGACTGCCAGGTGTGATGGTGACATCCTCCTGTTTTCCAAAGGCCCTTAGAACCACTGTGAGAGAGGACAAGTTGCTGGTCAGAGACTCATGGACCAGCCTGCCATGTACAGTCAATATATGGGGTGGGGCTGGGACCGAATTAAACAATGGGACATTAACAGGGGATTGTTGAACAGTGATGGAGGCACTGAGTATTTCATGGTGATTTAATACAAAGTGGTCACTAGGACATTGAGGCTACTTTTATAATGTGCCCCATCGATGACAATGCACATGTTAAAAGTTAGAATAGAGATTATGAATCAAGCCATTATAACCAGAACTCTCCCCACCACTTTCCTTGTTACTCTAGGCAAGGCCATCTGTCCCTGTGGGTGTCACCATATCAAGTATAAGGGAGTGACTCCCACCTAAGGGATTCCCATCAGCACTAATGGCGTCAATGTCATTGTCAATAATACGCCAACGGAGCATCGGTGAGATGATGTCTGAGCTAACTTAGGGTAATAGCTACCAAATCTCATTTCCTACAAAGAGATAACACAACCAAGCAGCAGCAGCAGCAGCACAGCAGTCTTGTTTTTTAACAAATTAAAGGCACACGATAAGCAGAAGACCTAGGTTCAAGTAACAATTCTTGTTACTTTCTCACTTTGTGACCTGAGGGAAGTCATTTCCCCAGTGGCGGGTGATTTGGTAACCTCCAGTGTCCCACATCTTTCCCAAACACATGTCCAGTTGCAGACTCCCAATGTGACCTTATTTAGAAATAGTCTTTGTGCCGGGGAGAGGGCTCGGTGGGCAAAACACTTGCCACACAAACATAAAGATCTGAGCTTGGTTTGGGTTTCCAGAACCCACATATAAAGTTGCATGCCTTTGTAATCCCAGCACTCCTAGAGCAAGAAAAAGGAGTTGGAGACAGGAAAATGCCGGAAAGCTCATGGGCCAGGCAGTCTGGCTTATGCAGTAGCAAACTGTGAAAGGCCCAGTCTCAAACACAATAGCATGTGAGGGCTGATATCTGAGGCTGTCCTCTGACAAGTGTGTTGTAGCTTGTAACTACTTACACACACACACACACACACACACACACACACACACACACACACACCCTGACACACCGACAGACAGACCCTCTGACACACAGAAATTAACAAGAAATAGGTATAACTAAGGGTTTCAAGATCACACTGGATTTGGGGCTGTTGTCATCATAAGAGAAAGAGGGAGGTCACAGATACAGAGCGAGGGTGACCATAGAGAGACAGAGACAGAGGGACATCGGCAGACCCCAGAAGCTAGAAGAGGCAAGGGAGAGTTCTCCTCCGGGATTTGGGAAGGAACGTGACCCTGCAGATACATTGATTTTAAACTTCTGGCTTCTAGAAACGGAAGAGGATACATTTCTCTTGTGGTTTTGTTTTGTTTTGTTTTGTTCTGTTCTATTCTTGAGACAGGGTTTCACTATGCAGCCCTGCTTGGTTTGGAACTCACTATGTCAACCAGGCTGGTCTTGAACTCAGACACAGACCTGCTTCTGGAACTAAAGAGATGATGTGAATGACAGTTCAGCTAGCATAAGAATGAAGAAAGCAAAACTGTTGGAGGCCATTGTTTTGGACTGAGATCTTGCACTCGGCCCTCAAGAGACCAGAGCAAATCAAATGGAGTCACTCGTGATAGACGGCACTGATTAAACTGACTGTAAGGAAGTGGACAGGTCTCAAAACAGACGAGCTTTTCCTGAAAACAGGACACTCCAGTCTATAATCAGTCAGTGCAATAATCCATATGACCTTGAAAAAACAATCTTTTAATCCTTAAAAGAAAATAAAGGAACCTTTAGTAACCTGATGGTTCCCAACCGGCTTTCCCACCGGTCTGTTTCCTTGCCCCACCTAACAAAACCCTCTGTTGTGACACCCCCACAGGGGGAGGGCTATTGTTCCCATCTGTAAAAAGGAGATGCCTCCATTCATAAATTGCAAGCAAAAATCAATTAAACTTGGTTTTGTTGTTGTTTTTTGAGACAGGATTTCTTTGCCTAGCCCTGGCTGTCCTGGGACATCAATTAAACCTGTAACTAAACTTGTTATGATACTGTGTTTGGACAAGTAGCTTGTAAAATGGGTACAGGGCCCATAGAGGAAATGACGTCATGGTTCTGTGAGTGGCTGTGTTGGGGGAGCACTCTGTGGAAAGCTTAGGAGGGAAAGGGAGTATGGGGGACTCTCAGATGAGGAACAGTATCAAGGCAGGCAGTGGCCATATCAGCCTCTGGCCTGGGAATGATTTGCTGAGGATGTGTGAGGTGCACAGCAAAAGCCTTGGATGGGGAATCAGAGCACAAGGGTGGGCATGTGTACCCCACTTCACTGAGGATATCTCCTAGGGCTCCAGAGGGCAGGTAAAGTGGCTCTTCTGAAGGTTACTTCTCCCACACCCGAGGGTGGGGATAGCAATTTCCACTCATTAACTTTTTGTTTTGAGATGGGTCTCACTGCAGTCCTAGATGGCCTGGAATCACTGTGCAGGCCCAGTGGCCTCAAACTCAGAGACCCACCTGTCTCTGTCTCCTGAGTGCTAGGATTGAGTCTGCACCACCACACCCACAGCTCCCGACATTTTAAAACAATAAACAAGTAAACAGGATCGGAGCATGGCAAGGATGGAACGAGCAGACCACGCTCACAAGGCTATCACGAGGAAGAGTTCCTAAGGGGAATTTGGCGATGTATATTAAGACTAAGCTGGGTGGTGGTGGTGCACGCCTTTAATCCCAGCACTCGGGAGGCAGAGCCAGGCAGATCTCTGTGAGTTCAAGGGCAGCCTGGTCTACAGAGTGGGATCCAGGACAGGCTCCAAAACTACACAGAGAAACCTTGTCTCGAAAAAACCAAAAAAAAAAAAAAAAAAAAAAAAAAAAAAAGACTAAAGTTATGTCCAAGCTTGGAGCTGAGACTGCCCCTTCTGGGAACGTACTCAAGGAACTGATCAGGAAGCCAAAAATCCTTCACGAATAAAGATTCTGACTGCCATTCTAACACAGCCTTTCAAGAAGGTGTGTGTGAAGTCTAGGATAAGTTATCACTCTGCGGTGGGTTATCAGACCGTCATGAAGAAATGATCTTAAAAGGGAAGATTTTTGTGGGTGCTGGGGATTTGAACATAGGGCCTCGTCTGTGCACCCTACCACTGAGCTATGTACACCCTGTGCCCTGGGAATCCTTTATCCTATGTTAATTAATACTCAAGACAAAAGTACATAGTTGTGGAAAAACATTCCAAAGAACTTGGGACCAGGGTTGGAGAGATGGCTCAGGGGTTATGAGCACTGGCTGCTCTTCTAGAGGACACAGGTTCAATTCCCAGCACCTACGTGGTGGTTCATAACTGTCTGTAACTCCAGTTTCAGGGGCTCCAACGCCCTCTTCTGCCTTCTGAGCGCACCTTTAAGCACTCATGTGCGTGCGCGCAGGCACACACACACACACACACACACACACACACACACACACACACACACACACACAGACACGATTAGAAACAAATCAAATTAACAAATAATAAAACCTTAGACA